ATAGTGTCCTTATCTTAGTCAAACATGACTTTGATTACACTTCATCTTTGTTTCAGTTCTCTGAAGAAACATGGTGCAGGTCTGTGCTCACTGTTAAAGAGGCTGGTGTTTTCATTTAACAAGGACTCAGCAGATCTGCTCTCAGCTCTGCTTGACTTCCTCAGACAGATCCTCAACACAGAAACAATGGTAAGTACTTGGTTTTATGGCTGGTTCATGTTTTACATTGAAGTAAACAACATAATACCAAGAATGAAACTGTAGAAAGCTTACAGCTGACTTTTCAGAGACTTGTTTCCTGTATCTTTTGGAGAGTGTTTTATTGTTAGATCTGTCTATGTTCTAATTCAGTGTGTTGATGAGGGTCAGGGGTCTGGCGAGGAGTCTTCCTTCTCTCCTCCTCCACGGTTGCTGTCGGGCTCTGAGATGAAAGCTCTGCTGCAGTGGGAGGAGTCTGAGTCACATCCGCTCCCCACTTTAGAGAAACAGATTACGGTACAAATGATGCGCACATAACGTATTATTTTGTTTTGTTTGGTTTTGCTGCCTTGACATTCAACTTACTGTGTGTGTGTGTGTGTGTGTGTGTGTCTGTGTGTGTGTGTGTGTGTGTGTGTGTGTGTGTGTGTGTGTGTAGAAACTATGTAAAGAAGATGAGTCCCTGGAGACCATGTTGGAAAATGTGATTGTTCTGAGGCAGACGCTGGAGAACGCCACAGACACGCCTCCAGCAGCTGATACTGAGCCCACTCTGCCAGCGCCGGAGACACTTGGGGCCCAGTTTAATCACAGGTATGGATAACAGAGAGCAAGGTTTTTCTCTGTATCCATTTTTTTTCTGCTTTTTCTGTGTCCTTTTTGTCATCCACACTACTGAAGCAGTTACGATCCGAGTCAAGGAAAATATTCATTTAAAATGAAAGAATGATCTAATCAGATATTCATAACAAAATGGTGTAAACCATGACTTTTGCTGTGAGATAAACTAATTATTACCTGTGTGCATTGTTATCTGTAGGACAGTATTCATTCTGTCAGAAGCTCTTGATGAGCAGCTGAAGGCTCTGTGGTTCTCTCCCTTCCAAACTGATGACATAGAAACAGACCTTGACATGGTAAGTGTGTGTGTATGTGTACATACTGTACATTTATAATATCTGGGAAATGCATTAGGGCTACACGATTATGGCAAAAGGTATTATCCTGATTATTTTGTATGTTTTATCCCAGTTATTTAACTTGTTTTATTACCATTTGAGGGAACTATTTTTTTTTTTTGCTCCTTTGCACATTATTTTTTCTTAGTCAGTGCAGTATTTGTCAAAATAATAGCAGCCTTAATAATAATAATTACTTTATATACAGACAGCACAAAGCTACAAACAACATGGTTAGACAATATTACAACACGAAGAACTATAATTTAGGCAGTAAAATGAGACATTTACAATAAAATAAAATACCCCAAATAAAAGATGAAAACAATAAAATCAGCAGTAGCAAAAAAACAAGGTGAATGTTTTTTCTACTACTACTGAATGTCATTCTTACAAATTCAAATAATGTATAATTACTGCATAATTGCTAAATCACAAGGCAAGTGGTTCAAATCAAAGCATGTCCAAATGTGAGACACCAATAATTTAAATTAAAATGTTTTTATGATCAGACTTGACCAGAGTCCCTAGATTCATAGCTTAGTTTATAACTATTTCTACATTTTTACAAACTGTTTATATAAAGTTTCATTCTTTCTCTGCGAAGATAGCTGGCGCTTTAAAGGCTATCAAGCCTGTGTAGCAAAAGAGCATGATAAATCATATGGGACTTCAAGAGGAATAAGAAACATCGCAAACATTTCCATGTTGATCTCTTACACAGCTGTTAATTTTGGAAAATAAAATAGTTATGGACTATTACTGATCATCTACAGTTGTGAAGCTCTGCGTCTTATCTGTGTCTGGGTCTATAGTTTGTAAACGGTCACAACTCTTCTCTCTCTCTCTCTGTCCGACAGATGAAGGTGGATCTGGTGGGTCTGGCTCAGGAGTGTTGTCCAGAACTGGACCTGAAGGCGGAGCTGGAGCGCTCCTTCCTGTCTGAGCCCTCCTCTCCTGGTCACACCAAGGCTCCAAAAGGCTTCAGACTGGGCAAACACAAGCATGAAACGTTCATTACATCAAGGTGCAGTTTCAGTGTTTGGCTGCTTTTAACGCTGTGGGGTATTTTTTCATATCTGTACTGTAAACTTTTCACAGAATCTTGTTTCAGTAAACTTACCGAATGTCATCTCATGCATCTCCCTGCAGCGGTAAATCAGACTACGTTGAGCCTGCAAAAAGAGCCCACATCATGGCTGCTCCGCGGGGCCGTGGGGGTCGAGGAGGATTCGGACAAAATGTCTCCCGTCCCCATGATATCTTCCGCCAGCGCAAACAGAACACTTCCCGTCCCCCCAGCATGCACGTGGATGACTTTGTGGCGGCAGAGTTTAAAGACATTACGACCCCGCTTGGACTTTTGCCCCCTAAACGACCACCCAAGAGTTCCCCCAAACCCCCCACCAGAGGACTGTTCACTGGCAACAGAGGCAGAGCCACCTTCCATAGCCAGACTCGCTTTTTTACTCCTCCACAACCGAAAGGCGTTCTGCTGTCTGGTAGGTACACACAGCAGACGCACATATTCAGTCACAAACACACTTCCTGCAACCATCATTTATAAAACCATTGTCTTGTGTTATAAGACCTGTGTTTATGATCGTGTAAGTTTGTGTAGTTTAAGTATTTATAGGCTCATACATGAGACATCCTGTAATGTAATATCATTCTATTTAAGTGTATTGTTGATGGACACTATGTTTTCACAATATGACACAGTTGTGTAATTGCTCAGGTAACTGCACAGTCAACCTAATTAGTTCTCTTTACCAACTATTTGTGTCATTAATACACATAATGAAATGAGTTTAAAAGTGAACTTGATCGATTTCTCAATTTGCAACCTGATCAATGTCTGCCGCCACATGCATAACATTTCACTAATGCTGTGTTCATACATATGCTGAATAATATTTATACACTGTATACATGAAAATGTATTCATGACCCTGGAAACAGAAGTTTGACACAAAAATCTAAAGTGAAGGTCCCCTTACTGGCTTTTTGCAGAGCTTTCAACCACCTGTCAGGGGCAGATGAGCTTAATGAGCAGATTAAAGTTGCTCAGTTATCATCCCTCCATATGCTGTATATGAAACCACCTGTTCGTTCCATACCTTGGTCACGTGATGACAACCATCTTCATGAAAATTGAGCAAATTTCACTCGCTGATATAGATGAAGAGATGTGGTCGAAAGCTCTGCAAAAAGGTAGTAAGTGAACCTCAGGTTTTATGTGTAACTATTGGTATAGTGTAGAGTAGATAGTAGTAGTTTGGATTTTTTTTACACACAGTGCAGGTCAAAATCACATCTTGGCCACTAGAGGGTGACAAATGTTTTCTTTTTGGTTCGGTAGGTAACTACACACGAAGAGAAGGAGGCAGAGGTTCATCATGGAGCGGCCAGGTTCCAGCTGTCACTCATAGAGGGACCTACAGTGAACCTCGCGGTGGCCAGAGCAACTTCACACGAGGACCGCTGCCCTCCAGACAACCGCCAGCAAGTATGATATACACGCACACACACACACACACACACACACACACACATTTGTCATGAATATGCAGTATGAATTTCTGAACATGTTGTTAAAAAATATGGTGCTTTTGTGTCCTCTCTCCCAGGTGCGTATCGCCTGGCTCCTCGGGACCGAGCTCCACGGGGCAGAGGAGGCACCGGGTTGTCGTGGCTTAGCGGAGGAGGGGGTGGCGGCAGTGCTGGAGGAGGAGGTGGAGGGGGTGGGGGAGGTGGAGGAGGAGGTGGTGGGGGGAGAGGATCTCAGGGGAGCAAGTTCAGTGGCGGGGGAGGGAGTGGAGGTGGGAGGGGCAGACATGTTCGCTCCTTCACCAGGTAAATTCACCTGGGCCATGACTGAAGCCTTTAATGGTGACAAATGGACCAATCAGGATGTTATATACACTGACTCCATGGAAATGCGGCGAGATGACATTGTCACAATGACGTACAGACTCTGTGTTGATGTTTTTTTTTTTTTTGTTATCTTGAGTTGTGATCAGAGAATAAAGGTGATCGTAATTGAGTTTTTACTTGTGTTTTTAAGCAAACACCTAATGCGCTGACGCAGACATTAAACACGGTTGCCTGTTTTGGGAGACAAGGTTTCCTTAAAGATCTTATTACCCATATGATGCTTTATAAAGTGAAACTTGCAGAAGTACATGATGTACAATTTGACTTGAAACTAATATAGCCTTGATCAACTGCAACACCAGAACATCCAGGTCCCGACTCTGATGTCAAATTTTATATTGTTAGTGATACATGCAGCCCTGTCGTCTTGACTATTGCAGCCAAAACACATTACGTTTTCAACATTATATAACATGAAAGCTACACCAGCTGTCCTCCAAGAGTTGCTTTGTATTTTTAACATTTGAGATTAGCTTAGACTTCAAAAATATAGGAGTTTGGTAATGCCAAGTCCTTCCAAGAAACTCAAAAAAAAAAAAAATTCTCCACAGAAACCACCTGCACATGATAGATCAGTAATGAGAACACTGGAAATAATTTAGTCCTGAGATCAAGAAAATTACTTGAAGTAACTGTTTTTAACTGAAAACTGATGAATACAAAATTCAAGGGACATTACACCATGATCTGTTTGCAAAAAGGATAAGGGGTGAGCTGAGCATGAGTCTACAAAGTAAAGAATTGTCTGATCACTTTCACTTTTTCAGTCCACAGCGTATCGATTTCTTTCTATTTTAACAAATCCACACACATATTTGATTAAAAAAAAATCTACCAGAAACTACATGACTTACTGCACATGCACTGTACTTGTTGTTTTAATGACTAAACCCTTGTTGGAAATTATTGCCGGACATTAAAAAAATAAAGATTTAAGCTTTCCTCATCTGGCTAAAATCCCATCAGTCCTGTCCACTCAGATGACCGTCACCTCCCGGCTCTTCCTCTTGATGCAGTCCAGAGTCAGACTCCGGGTACCACCCTTGCGTGCTCCCTCACCCAGCTGCGGTGATGGCGGTGGACCTGATACAGTTATAGCCTGAGCTGAATGTAGAGATAGACTCGAGGCGTGTAAGGATGCCTCCCTCTGCTGGTGTCTTGTCGGCTTTGTGTGGAGCTCCCAACCGGGTGTCTGCTGCGCTCCCTGATGCTGGTCTTTTGCCGCCTGTTCGACAGGATGCTGACTCCTGGTGGGCTGCAGGTCTTTGAGGAGCTCCAACAGTTCCCTTTTCTCCAGCTCTGCTTCTGCCAGTTCCTGTCTCCTCAGACGCTCTGCTCCTAACAGGGCTCGCATGTCACACATCACACGGGACAACTGACCCTGCGTGGAGAGGACACAAGATAACTCAACGTACATCAACATGATAGACAGTATTCTAACATAGGACTCTCGTATAATGTGGTTCTCTCATGATTTGAGTGTGAAGCCTCTAGTGTCACAGTATTAGCTAACCATTAAATATAGTGAAGAGCTTAAGTAATGTTCCAGTACCTCAAATCTTTGCTTCACTTCTGTTCTTGAATAAATGTATTTTGTCTAATGTTGTTATCTTAAAACTGAGGTGTTGCAGATTTTACGAGCGGGATTGACCCATCACCTTGAGCTCCTCCACCTCATTCTTCAGCTGCGATTCTTTCTGCACCATATGTCTCCTCTGTGAGTCCAGCCGAGACTCCATCTCTCGCCTCACCTCCTCCACCTTACACAGCATCTCGGCCCTACCGGGAACATCACATGAGACTGAAGTTATGACCTGCAAAGCTAATTCAAACTGCTCAGTTGTAGTACAAGGGTGAAGACGTTTTCCTCGCCACAGACATACACACCTGAGCATCTCCACTTCGGTGCGCAGCTCTGCTACACAGTTATGTTGTGATTGATCAGTGGAGAGAAGTGTATGGCCACAGCCGTTGGGACACTCCCTGCTGCGGAAGTTACATTCTGACAGGTGAGCCTCCAAACCCCGCCTCTCTACCTGCACAGGACAACCTGGGAAGAAAGAAGAGCAGTGATGCATAAGCCTCATGTGAAACAAAAGTGGGCTTACCAAACATTTTACAAAAGGAAATGGCAGCACTGAAATATTACTCAAATAGATCTTTCACTTGACTTAAATATAGCTCACACAGATTCCTTGTGTTGGAAATGACCCATGCAAAATGACCAAATCGCAAAGATTGATCATACATGATGCACAGATCCAATATCAAGATGCAAAAACATCTCAGATTACCTTAAAAGGTTAAAAGGTCCAACTTAATGTGAATGGAATATGCTCCTGATTTTCCAACAACATAATAGTTGGCTATTCTGTCATTCTTTCAAGGGAAAATCATTGAAAATCTGCTTTCTTCTTTGTGTGACAGTAGAATGATTTATTTTACAATGTACACAAAACAAAAGAATAGGAAAAAGTACCCATTTACAGTATAAAGAGAATATTGTAATTATTATAATTACTATTATTATTTTATGCCTCATCTTTGACCAAATGTAACAAACGTCTCACAGATCACAGCAATCACAGACAGTGACAGATATATCAGGTTCACTCTTGTGTAAAAACTGTATGTTGCTCTTAGTGCCTGTAGTATTTAACACTGCAAAAAAGTCACACTGCATGCACACACTCTGTCACTTGTCACTATACATACCACAGTGGTAACATATGTATTCTCCACCTGCCAATGACAGGTCACAGTCACAGTTTGTGAGCACCAGATAGCATGTTTGTATATACTGTAAATACACTTACACACTTTGCTAAAATGCTTATTAAAGAATGATAGGAAGTCGACCCTCAGTGCACTCTGTGTGTGAGGTCTGTGGGAGCTTTGAGTCCCATCGGTGCACTCGTTTGTGGAGTAGCCATGACGACAAAAGAGCCACCTGTTGCTCCCCCACACACAGGTGTCACATTACCTTTGTACAATTTTTTGATTATACAATTACTCTCAAAGCAAGAAGTAAAACAACACAGTAGATGACATTCAGTGTGAGGTGTCATACCTGTGTTGGAGCAGGATATGAAGGCAAACTCACACTCATCCTCATGTGTGTGCAAGCTCTCCAGGGTGCAGACCACCTCACATCCCTGTCCTGCATTCACACAACGGATCTGCAGACGGTTCAGGTCATTGCGCATGTACCTGTCATCAAACATACAAAGACAGTAATACTATCAGAGAGAGATGAGCAGTACAAGTTTATGATGCCACTGAATAGTAAAGCTGTAAAACTTAAGAATTAATTATGAAAAACAAAGACATAACCACAGACAGTGACACATGGCTGCAGAGATGGTGACACACCTGTACAGTGGTTTGAGACTGCCCACATCCAGCGGCAGTCTGTCCTCTGGACAGGAGTGGTGATGGACCAGCCAGTTACTGATGCATGCGCTGCAGTAGGCATGTTCACAGGGAGCCTGAAGAGGGCGTTCCAACACGTCTCGACACACACAGCACAGCAGATCCTCGTTCACATAGCCCACAAACCTCTCAAGATCATAGCCCATCCTACAACCACACAGATAGATTATACAAAACATGACAAACACTGGGAAGAAAGTCCAATTTCGTGACAGTTTTGGCTCATTGGTTTGTTTACTTTTTTGATTATCAGCTCTGACAATAATTTCCCTACCTGGCAAGGTAACTTTCACTTCATCCAACTCTTCTGTCTTCTTTCCTTCTGTTGATTTCCACTCCACTGGTTCCTCCACAGGTGACCTTCCCTCTTAACGCTCTACTACTACAGCTTTTCCCTCTTCATCCTCTCGCTTGACTTGCTGCTCCATCAGGGTGAGGGTCTCCTCTCTGTTAAAGCCCTCCCTTGCATTTGGGACTGTGTCTCCATGGAGAGGTATCCCTGACAACAAGGTTTCAGGACACAGGCAGGGCAGCTGTCAGATGAGATCAGATCAGAGAGACAGAATTACAGGAGAAGAAACACTCACACTCAAAGACAGACAAATTCTGCAGCAGTGTGTTTTCCTCACTGCCTTACCAATAAAACTGGGTTGTGGTGCAGCCTTCAGAGATTACTGCTGTCCTTCAAATGTTTCTGTCTCTCTTAATGACCCACCCTATCCTAGGTTTCTCTTTCTGCCTCTCCCTCTCTCTGGATGTGGGATTAACATGGATTACACTCTCTCTCTCTCCCTGATTGGATTACAGACTGCACGACATCAGATGGCACATACTCTCAGACCACAAACATCAAACGGTGACCCAAACGCCTGGTCTCATCCCAGTCCCTTTATAGTCTGTTAGGTTAGACTCAGTGATGGAAGAACAGATCCTTTACAAAATAAAAATATTCAATTACAAGAAAAGATTTTGTATTTACCATATGTTTAAGTAAACATATGTTAGTATGTTTTGTATTATTGACTATTATTTATTTGGAAGCAGCACTGTAAAGTTACTGCTGGTTGGTGTGAAGCTGATTTAACTATTTTATGTAATACTGTAGATCTTAATGCACTGAATAACAATGTATCCTATGTTTTTATGCTCTTGATGCACACTATTCCCCTCTGAACTCAAGTGAAATTGAAGTAGGCAATAAAGCATTAAATCAAAAATACTCAAGAGAAGCACCTGTACCTAAGAATTGTACATAAGTATAAATTAATGTATTTAGTTACTTTTCCAACAACAAATTACTGTAAAACTGTTTAATATAATTAATTCAACTAAACATCATTAGTGTCTCCTAAACAACAATTTTGCAAGGAACAGTGCGGAACTATAATCATATTCGAAGCCACAATACCTAAGATCCCCTCAAATTCACAACAAACTCATCGTATTTACATTTCCTAATCATTTCCTCTGTGTACGTTGGTGCTGAAGGGATGAAGTGAGGTCAGTTGACTGGAACATGCTGGGTGCGCTCGATTTACAACTCAGGGATGGGCGGATTGCTGAAAATCCAATGAGGATGTTAGCGCGTAAACTCTAGGTGACATTAGATATCAAACGCATCCCACTCTTGTTGACCACGCCCCTCGATGGAGGAGCAACCAATCAGGTTCTTCAAACCATTCAGCGGGAGAAACGGAACAGAGTCGAGTGCTAGTAAAGAAAAAGTAAGATGAGTTTAGTTGGAATTAAGTGAGAATTTGTGACCTTAAATGTCTTCATCAAACTTTTAGTTCGCCTGGGTATGTATGACACGTTGTCACACGTTATCTAACATGATATTACAGCCGAGTTTAGACCGTGTCAGCAGTGTCAGCGAGTGTTTGTTGCTAGCGAGTTAGCTCGCTTGCTAACCTGCCAAAGCGATGTAACAGGTTAATGTCGCTACAGAGATTGATGAGATATTATTGTTAACCTGCGGTCGCCGGCTGTTTTTTTTTTCCATGTTAAAGATGTTGAGACATGATGAAAGGGTACAAAGCCCTTGTTTAGAATCGCTCTATGAGAAAATTAAGATTGAATGGGTCGCATTAGTTTTATCTCCAAAAAAATCCGTGGTTGACTTCACGGTTCACATAGTACAGATTTTGAGACATGTTTCTCTTTTATACTTTTATAGAATGTTGTCACTATAAATCAGTTTTACTTTTTAAAATGTTTTTAATTAATTTTTTTTTATTTTTATAAATAATGTCATATACTGTATGTGTTAATAAAATGTTAAATGCTAAATAAGATAACAGATCCAAAGTGGTGTCTATACAGTGACACGAAATAGGAGGGAAATGTATATATGAGTTGTATTTTTGAAGATGCAACGAAAACAGCGTTTGGTATATGTGTGTGATAAGTTGTTAAAGAGATCGAGCCTGTGTCGAAGTTGTAATCAATTAGTTTTTCTTGAAATAATACCGCACATTAACTCTAAATATTAGGATGTATCTTTATTCTCCTGTGTCTAAGCTAGTTAAAAATGTATACACCACTAAACCTTATCTCTGTTGTGGTCAAATGTTGTTAATATCGAATTATTACAGAGGAAACACCGATTTAGATGGGTATGAACAATAAAGAGATTGAAACCCACCTGTCCACTAGTCTACCTTATACACAGCTCACTGTACTGATTAGTAAACGGAAAACCATATTCTTTCTCATTTTGTCAGAGCCTCTTAAAAAATACTTGGATGTTCCTGGACTACTGAGTTAGCAGATATGATAATGGGTTTGTTATGATCTAATTAGCTGCTACAATTAATTATTGTGTTGATAGTCATTGCTTTCTTTCTTTAGGAGACAGATTATTGTGGGATACCAGTATAAGAATGAGGCGCTCAGCAGCTCCCAGCCAGCTCCTTGGAAATGCAGTGAAAAAGCCTCGATTTGTGCCTCCCGGAGCGTCTACTTCATCTCACATGGCTGAGTCCAAGCCCCTGACCCCGAAACCTGGATTAGTCAATGCACTGGAAAAGGTAAATTATTCACAACGTTTTACCTGCAATCCGATCTTTCAGTATTCATTTGACTCCCATCATCTTCATACATCATCCAATGTCGTTTCAAATTTCCTCCAATTATAAATTCTCTTTTCTTTTCCTCTCGTCATGTAGGTTCAGAGAAGTCTAGCAGCACCTGCTCAGAGTAAGACAGGCTGTGATGTCCAGCCGAAAGCTGGACAGGCTGCTCCAGCCTTGTCCAGGGCTCTGGCTCGTATTCTCAGTGCAACGGAAAGTAAGGAAAATGAGGAGGAGACAGAATATTCTGACGCTGGCACCAGAGACTACGCAGAAGACAACAGACCAGCAGGTAAGACACAATGATTTATGGCTGAAACAATACCTGCTGTGTGCAACATTAGCCATTTGCAGATTGTAATGCACCAACAAGTTGAGGCCATGTTGGTGTGTGCTGGATACAAAAAATATCTGAGAAAATAGAAAGGCACCTGCACACTAAAACTCCTTTATGTTTCATCGAGTGGCATTTTGTCCCAAGTTTTCTTCAGGCAAATAACAATGCAAAGGAAATGAAAATTGTGTATGTAACAAAATAACTGGCATGATAATCACTTTTCACATTTGTTTTTGCGGGAACTTCAGGTGCCTGTTACAGTAATACTGATATCACATGGTTGTATGAAGTTTGTGAGAGTTGGGGAATGCATATTCACAACTCATATTGATACCATATTGACACTCAAAATGTCATGCAGAAGATGGAAACATCATAACTGGAAAAAGTTGTGACTGATCTCACGTGTACTGACATTGTAAATATACTTTTAGTTCTTTTAATTTCTCAAAAAATGTGTATATTCTCTGTCACAAGCTATCATTTCCCTCCCATGATGGCTGCTGAGTGTCTTCAAGTGTTCACTAAAGACATTTGTATTCAAGAAAATATTAAATAGCCAGCTCTGAGACCTTAACAAGAAATGTAATTTGCAATCAGTTTAATAGAGGGGGGCTAAAGATCATCCAAGCCTGTGTGTTTAAAAAGCAATGCAAGCATCAACTGTAAGATGAATATATAGTGTGTTTTCTGCTACAAGTGCTTATTTAGAGCATCCAGGAACTAGTTCATTTCCAATTAGATGTGGGTAATTTAGTTACTAATGTTTCTCAATTGACTTATGCCTGTTTTATTACCCATTGTCTTTATTTTAGGTTATTTACAGTGAGTGTACATGTACATTGCTCAAGAAAAACCCAAATATACAATATAATACGATAATTAATGTTCTAATTGACACTGTATCACTTTTCCATGATGTTTACCTACATAAGTGTCTTCCACTTTGTGCTGTGTAAATGGAGGGAATGTCATTATAATCATTGACATGACGTATATAATATGTGTTTGCTCTGTTGCGTTTTATTTCTTTACTAAATTCATATTTCAGCTGTAAACTAGTTGATGCAAATCACTGCATACTGCACACTGCATACGCCGTTACAGAATCAGAGAAATGAGAAAGTAGCTTTAAAAATAGCCTACATGTGCTCAAACCCTGACAGTTTTAAATACATAGCCACAGCCAAGATCTGACCACTTCGTCTCTATCCTCACACAGACAGATTCGTCTATTAAACATTAACTACATGGTCACAACAACACAGCCTCGATGTTGCTTTGAGTTGATCTGAATGCACGGTAATGAACTGTATTTTAAGCCCCGTGTGCTCCAGTTAAATGTCCCTCATTTCCCTCGTTTGTCACCTTTTTTTTTTTTTACACAAATAACGGTGTGCTACTGAGAGAAGTGAACCGGAGTGACAGCGCTCTCTCATTTCTCATTGCTTGACTGTCCCGTCTCTGTGGCTAATAATAAAACAAACACACACACACACACACACACACACACACACACACACACACACACTGAATATAGATGTTAAACCAAGCGGTCTGAGGTTGAGTGACAGCAGGTCCAGCATTATGCAAATTAGCGGGGTAGTGCGGCGGCCGCGCCGGGCAGATTAGGACTGTGCTCGGGATCAGTGAGCCACCGCTCCCTTCGTCTGCAAGAGCAACTAGTGCCTCTGTTTTCCACCTTGAAAACACTCAGCTCACACACTTTGCGTGTGGCTCGGCACGGTTTCCACACGCGCCCTGAACACGTGCTGTGATAATATGAATCGGTATTTGTAATGCCGAGTTGCGACGTATTGTAACCATCCACCAGACTGTTTTGACGGGCATGCGCAGCGCGCTCACAAACCCCTCCCCCACTCAGTTAGTTAAGCCAGCGCTATTTCAAAACCTCACTCACTTTAGGAAAATATACTCCTGACCTCCAATAACCTGTCACACGCTGTCAGAAGACTGTTTCCCCCATTTGTGCAGGACACAGAGCCGCAGCTGCCATCCTTGCCTTATAATGTAGAGGCAGTGTGGCCGTGCTCTGCTCTGTGCTGTGCTTGGTTTGGGGTTTACAGAGACCGAGCTGTAAGTAGGTCGGGCTGGGCTTAAGCGGCTTAGCTACGTCAGCCTAAGCTGGGAGGAATTCATCCAAAGCCCTCCGCGGTAGGCGGGGGCCTAAACGAGGCTGGCCTAGTTAAGCCTGATTCTTATTGTGTGCTGCACAGCCTGTTTTTGTTTTGCAACGTAGCTGAGAGGGAAGCCAGAAGTAGTGTATGAATCCATGCACATGTTAGACATAGCTTATTCTTGATTTAGAGAAGAAGAAGAGAAGCCAAATGAGACATGCATGGGAGTTAGACCAGTGGTAGCTTTATCACCGTGGACCAAGAGAAGCCAGCAGCAGGGACAAGAAAAGACAGGTGGGAAGAGTGGAGAGCCACAGTACCGAGTGTGGTTACTGAGGGGTGACAACCATAGGCCTGACTTGGTCTGTGTGAGTCCGCTATGCTATAAGATGGCGTCCAGCTCTGTGTTTCTGTCCAGTATGGTGGGTAAAGCTCGCTCCTCCAACTTCACCCTCTCTGAGAAGCTCGACCTGTTGAAGCTGGTCCGTCCTCACATCCGCATCCTGGAGGAGCACACCAACAAGCATGCAGTCATCGTGGACAAGAACAAGTGCTGGGACACTGTGGCTGAGCAGTACAACGCCCTGGGAGGGGACAGACCCCATCGCACCGCTCAGGGCCTCAGGACTCTCTACAAGAGACTGAAGGAGTCAGCCAAGCAGGAAGTGATGCAGCGGAGACACGCCCAGCCAGAGTACAGAGCGAGCATCTCCGAGCCAACCAGGAGAATTATGGAGATGATCCCTCACCTGTTTCACCATGTGCCCATCCACGAAAAGGACCAGGCACTGCGCAGGTACAATGTGATATATGCCTATGAACACAGGCGCACATTTTTAATAAAGAACCTGTAGGATAACACAACAGTCAGGTGAGAGTTTAGTGAACGCAGACATCCATCCTTAGCTCCACACAGTTTGTAGTCATGACACTGATTCAACTGTTAGAGGATGAGGGAGGGGAGGGGCTGAACTCACCCTCCCCAAGCCCACTCAGAATACACACACTCTGTACATCGTCAGGCTGAACGGGAAAATACAGCATGTCCTGCCGTCACTTACTGGTAGCTGGTTAGTAGTTTGTGCTTTGGTTAGTGTACATTCACACAGAAAATACTCAGCACTTGGTATTGATTAATCTGTCAATTAGCATTTTTTGTTGTGCTGTTTTGAGACAAATACTTATCACATGTTAAAACCCTAAATTATGTTTTGAACTTGCTTACCCACTGTTACGAGCAGCCAAAAAAAATTAGTAATTTATGCATCCACTCTGATTAATAAATTAATCCTATGATTGATTTATTGAGTGTGCATTAACACCAACAGATGTAGACACTCAGTAAATGTAGTTTAAGTACTCTAGTTTCACTTATTTTTACCCTTCTTTCCATTTGTAGATTAATATACAGCAAGCACAACTCTCCAATTGAACATCCTGGCAGCAGCTCTTCTCTGGCTGGACTCCAGGATTACTCAGCAGCTGTCCCAAGTATCCCCCATGAGGTGGTCCAGCTGGACCCTGAAGAGGATGTAAAACCACCGCCAGATCTACCCATCCTCTCCACGCACACAGGGCCAGGGCTGGACGGAGGCCAGGAGCGGGAGGGGGAGCAGGACTTGGGCAGCATCCACGATTACGAAGCATCCCTGTCTCCCACCCCTTCCTCTGTTAACCTCCCACTCTCCACCTCGCCGCTGCCCTTACGCCACGACCTCTACCCCAATGACATCTACCCTCACCACGAGCCCGACAGGTTTCGCCCTTTGCACCTGGCCAAAGAGGAGCACGAGTTGGTGTTAGCCAATCACAGAAAGGTTGCCTTGTACCTGGAGGAGAAAAGGGAGGGGCTGAAGAGGAAGCAGGAACTGGAGGAAGAACTTCTGAGAGCCAAGATCAAAGTGGAGAAACTAAGGGCTGCGCGACTGAGACACGGACTGCCAATTCCTCTATAACAAGCATGAACACACACATTTGTTGCCAGTGTTGGAAAGAGAGAGAATCTGAGCAGCAATCACTCTCATTAGTTTTGTGTTTGAGAGCTGTTTCAGAACTTGAATTTCTTTTGGAAACATAGTGCCTCGTACAGACACTGATCGCCTGTTTTAATATTGAAGGACAGGACTGTCTTCTGTTGCCATCAGTCATCATGTTGCTCATCAGGGTTAGATATTCATCATCATTCCTGCACTTATTGAGAGCAGAGATGACAAAATGTGTAAATGCTCACATTACTGACACTGTGACGGGCCAAAACAGGTAAAATAAATGTTAAAGTCCAGCTTTTGGAAGGGAATATATGTAGTAGTGACTGACTTGTACCCTGCTGGTGCTTTTTCTCCCATCTGTATGCACCAGATCATATCAAGGAGATTGCTTAGTGCCCTGTTGAAAATCACCACCTAATCTGGTGTCTGTAGAAATAAGACTTAAAAAACGTAGGCATTTTAATTTTGTGAGTTAAGAAAAAAGAAAACTCCAGATCAATTGAGAAATTTTCAGACGTACCAGGATTTGAGCACAAGTTAAACTTTCAAAGGCCTTAATGTATTATGCTAATAACGACAAATTCAGTGCATCAAGGTCAGTCAGAAATTGTTTTTGGTTGCTGAATTGGCCAGTTGGGTGAACAAAAGAAGGGAGATGTGGTTTTGGTTTTGTGATGTTACTGTTATTTAAAGTATGTAATTACAACATTGATTCTATTGTAATGTTGGTATATAAGTGTTGTCAGTTTCTTTTACAGTTTGTCCAATTGTTTGCTATTAAAAAAATGTAAGGTCAGTATTCTACTGGTCTTGTGTTTATTACATGTCAGACATCCCTGACATCAGCTGTTCTGTCTTTTGTCTTATTTTTAATAATTGTTACAGATGTTAGTAGCAAAGGATTACATGGTAACCAAATAAACGTACATTTGCACTGTTGCATGTTGCTACAACTTCCTTGGTCAAATGTTGTTTTTTTCATTCTGAGCCAAGCACTCGTGGCTCCAGGTGCTTGAATGTGAAGGGGAACTGTCATCCTGGTTGAAGGTCTACTGTGAAGTGCAGACTGAAGTGCAACAGTGACCTCTGCTGATGGCTTCTGTGACTTGTGTCTAAATTCATTCTGTTGGGTTTTTTTTCCACTGTCTTTGTGCTGCAGGAGTGAATGGTTCTCCTCAGTTGACTCCCAAGTCTCCTCAAACCCCGCAGCCTCCTGCAGGCTCAGCCTGTGTTAATGGAGCTGCAGGCTCAGACTCTGCCTGCGGTCAGGATGGAGCACGTTACCTCAGTGTGATGTGGTGTAAGGCCAGTAAGAAGAAACACAAGCGCTGGGAGGGTGATGCTGTCCTGGTGACAAGAGGGCGCACAGCCACACTTAAAGACATGGAGGGAAAGGACATCGGAAAAGGTGAGACCTTTTTTGTTTGTTCAATCAGTGTGTCAAATTTTGTGTGATTATTGAAAAAGCAGTATAGCTGCTGCTTCATGTTGCCTGCAGCATTTGAGCAAATCTTAATACCAGAAGTTGTGGTACAGTAGTAGCAATTAAGTTGTGTAAATGTAACTTTTTTGTTCCATTGTGAGAGGACACTAATACTATACAGTATAGTACATACATTTCACACTCAGAATTTTGACACTCACTTGATCTTGATAAATGGCTGACAGTAAGTATTGTGCACTACATCCTATTGTGGTTTTGGATTTTACTGACCAAACCACAATAGTATGTAGTGTAGTGTAGTGATGTAGCCAACCGATCACATTTTTTATAATCCAGTTGTTCTAAGGAACTAACTGTGTTTTACTGTGTTGTATTGTGTTGTTTTATTGTATGTTCTAATTTACAGCTTAGTCTGATTCATTGTTCATTTGTGCTGTTGTCATTCTCGTAGAGATGCTCTGCTGGTTTACTGAACCTATAACACCACTGAGACTAACAGTGACAATACACATGACTGTTCTATGTTGCCATGGGTATCTGTTTCTATGACTCCTCTAACAAGACTTGTGGATATGAAAAATAATCTATCAGGCATTTAGTTTAACCCTCATTTAGAGCGATATAATTGCTGAGAAGTGCTGAGAAGAGCAGTAGTAGGTAATTTCTCCCAATATACAGTCAATTCAGTGGGGATGTTTGTGTGCAGGTAGTGGCTACAAGGTGTCAGAGTTGGCCTCTCTCTCTGAGGGACAGACCCTGATGATCGGTGGGAAGGAGGTTGAGGTGATGGGCATCATTTCTGCTGAGGACTTTGCCAGGGGACGTTGTTTCCAAGAGGTCCAAATAGAGAAAGAGGAGCCACACATAAAGTCAGCTCCACCCCCTCCTCGTTGTTTTGCATCCAAACCGTTCTGCCCCCCAACCCAGGTAGGAAGAGCAGAGCATCCAGGAACCAAACCAGAGGAGGAACAAACCTCTAGGCCTCGCCATGACCCCTTTGCACCGGGTATGTAGTCTAAATCAGAAACTTGAAAACTCCCATCTGCACAAACTCCCATCTGTGGTTTTGCATAGATGCATATTCTGAAAGGGTCTTAATATCATTTGCCTTGCAAATATGTGTCACCATATTTAGCTTTTTGTCAAATTTTGCTGTGATAGAAAACTTTTAATTTAGAAATATTGTGTATATACTGCACATCCTCAGGTGCACTGGTGATGCCTCGTCCATCCCCCAACCACCAGTGGTCTAATAACAAGTCCGGGCTTCCTGTAGTTGATGTTGTGGTTGACCCATACCTGACCACTCACCTGAGACCCCACCAGAGAGATGGCCTGCTCTTCCTCTATGAGTGTGTCATGGGCATGAGGTGAAGGAGCTGTTCCTGTAACATGTATTGTCAAATGCTTGTTTAAAGAAACATCTAAATGAATCAGTTTTAGCCTGACAGCTGGAAGAGTAGACACAGGCCATTAACAGCATTCCTAATGGATTGTGTTGATCTGTTTGGTGTATGTGCTTCAGGGCTGTGGGTCGCTACGGTGCTATCCTGGCTGATGAGATGGGTCTGGGGAAGACCCTGCAGAGCGTGGCACTGTCCTGGACCATGCTTAAGCAGGGGCCGTACGGTGGGAGACCAGTTGCTAAGCGTATCCTTGTGGTTACACCTGGCAGCCTAGTTCAGAACTGGGGTGCAGAATTTAACAAGTGGCTGGGCCGTGAGAGGATCTGCGTTTTCACTGTGGATCAGGTGGGGCCCTATTCTATTTTTTGGATTTACATGAAGATGTAGCAAGATAGCAAATTGAGCAGAGAAATTTCTAGTAGATCAGAAGTTCCAAAGTTTTATTTATATAGCACTTTACATTACAAGTAAGCTAATTATGCTTTACATTTAAGAGCTTCTTCCAATTATTAACTTTTTCTTCCATTTACAGTTTTGTTTTATGTAATAATCCACTGGTCAGATTTTTCTTGGTTTAATGGATTTACTGGAGACACTTAATACCTTTTTTATAAATATGCCAGAATCAAGCATTTACCTTAATCTAGCATGCATTAAATAATTTATATCCATTCTTGGTTGATGTAAAGGACCACAGGATAGAGCAGTTTGTGTTATCTCCTCTGCACAGCGTTCTAGTGATCAGCTATGAGATGCTGCTGCGCTGCCTGGAGCAGGTATGTTCCCCTCAAGTCCCGCTTTCAAGCTTGTTTCAAATGCACCAGTTGAGACATGTTTTTATATTTGATTTTCCTTGTGTTTCCAGGTACAAAAAGTGGAGTTTGGTCTTGTAATTTGTGATGAGGGTCACAGATTAAAGAACAGCAGCATCAAAACGTCCTCTGCTCTCAGTAGCCTCAGCTGTAATCGCAGGGTCATACTTACAGGTAAACACACGCTGTGACTGAAAGAGATGGGAGGACTTCTTGTAAAGGTTTTCTAACAAATTGTGTTTGTGTTTTGAAGGCACCCCAGTACAAAACGACCTGCAGGAGTTCTATGCTATTATAGATTTTGTTAACCCAGGGATTCTTGGGTCATCAACTGCTTATAGGAAAGTGTATGAGGAGCCAATTCTACGTTCCAGACAACCGTCCTGCAGAGAGGTAATGCTCCCTCTGTCTCTTTTCTGTGAATCTGCATCCCTTGTATAGAGATATCTCATATCTTTCTTTGCCAATAGGAGGAGAGGGTTTTGGGAGAAGAGCGTGCAGCTGAGCTCTCCCGTCTGACTGGCATGTTCATCCTGAGGCGGACACAGGAGATCATCAACCGCTACCTGCCTCCTCGTCTCGACTGGACGTTGTTTTGTGACCCGTCCCCTCTGCAGCTAGAGCTTTACAGGCATCTCCTGTGCCATCGAGTCTTCAGAGCCTGCCTTCAGAGCTCCACGCAAACTCACACACACCTTGCCTGCATCACTGCACTGAAGAAGCTCTGTAACCACCCTGGTCTGCTCCACTCTACTGTCAAGGTTACATGTTTTTTATTAGTCAGAACGGGAGTGTCAGTAGTCTCACAACATAATGATCGTAGTCGTTTGACTTATGTTGTAGTTATTTATTAAACTCTGAGTATCATTGTGGGCAATACATTCTGTGGTAAAGGTAATAATTACATTTGTGTGCCTGGAGATTTGGCCGAATCCCCGTCCTAACTGTGAGTACTCTGATGTCCTGTTTTCAGGAGAGAACAGACCACGGATCAATGGAGAGCTCATTGTATGACGGTCTGGTTGACCTCTTCCCAGAATCCTACTCTTCAGGAGGATTCAGCACTGCTGATTCTGGAAAACTGCTGGTTCTGTCGGACATGCTGACTGCCATCAAACAGCTCAGCCCTTCAGACAGGTGTGTGTGTGTGTGTCTGGGACAGATTTGTATTTACATGAGTGTAGAGTGTAGTTTTGTATGTATAAACTGTGCATCTGCAGATTTGACAGTGTATCTCTGCTCCTGCAGGGTGGTCGTGGTGTCTAACTACACTCAGACACTTGACTTGCTCCAGGACTTATGTGTGCACATGGGCTACACCTTCTGCCGACTAGATGGACAAACACCCACCAGCCAGAGACAACGGCTGGTTGATAGTTTTAACAGCCCCTATTCTCAGAACTTTGTGTTTCTGCTGAGCTCTAAAGCAGGAGGGGTGGGGCTTAATCTGATCGGCGCGTCCCACCTGGTGCTGTATGATATTGACTGGAACCCTGCCAATGACATTCAGGTAACACGCACACACGAGCACAGAGTCGTGCCAACAAAGTTCAAAGTCTGTAACACTGTTTTCTTTGACCTAGCTGCTCTGTCTTTCCTACACACAAATATTGATTATGCTTTTACGCCAATCTGTCTCTCTGTCACTCTGGTGTGTTTGCCTGTTTAGTGGGGTTTGTTGGGCTGTTGTGATAGCTGTTATTCGAAACAATCAAACTGAAGCCGCCTGTAAAGGTCCACTTCAAAGCAGTATGAAAGCAAATCAATCACAGGATTTTATGATTTTAGATTGAGATGTGATTTTAGCATGAGTTCCATGCATACAAATAATTTGGTAACCATAGTAACAAGTACTGTATGTGCATCACCTGGCGAGTATGGGGATTTTACCTGACCAGTTGGAAAATAGAAATGAGTTCCAACAGAGGCGTGTTGTTCTAATCCATGTATTTTGGAAGTTTCTCATTAAAAATTGAGTGAAAGATCGTGACCGCACACCCCACCCAGGTATTATTATGATGAAAACCAACTTACTTTGTCCTTTTTTGATCTGACCTACTAGTTATTGTTAATTAAAAAAAGGTCCACTTGCAATCTGAACTAATAATCAGTTACTTTTGTGACACCGGAAAACAGACATAAAAGGCAGTAAAATGCAGAATAATTAGCTCTTGATCACGACAGTTTGATTTCCCTAGGTGTGTCCTGACGATGACATCACTAAAACTGTCCAGTTAATGAGTTACCTGTGAGTCCACTCGACTTTATGCTCAGAGCTCTTGATGTCTTCAATGTCAATGTTCAAAGTCAATGTGAATATGAACAACAGTAGGTCTTTTTCCCTGGTCCAGACCAAATGAGCCAAACTACAGGTGTGAAAGCGCCGTCAGACTATACAGTAACACACTGATATATATCCTTATCCACCAGGTGGCACTGTGTACATGTGTGTCATTCTCTAATGCAACTTTACCTTCTGTACTGTGTCTAGGCCATGGCTCGAGTATGGAGAGATGGACAGAAGAAGACTGTGCACATCTACCGTCTCCTCACTGCAGGTCAGAATACACCAACATACACAATGAGCCAGAAAATTCAGCATACTATAAATCAGACTGATTTGCAGTTTTATGTCCTGGGTGTGTCACTTCCTCATAGGTACCATTGAGGAGCGTATATTCCAGAGACAGGTGTCCAAACAGGGGCTTTCTGGGACTGTGGTTGACCTGGGCAAAGGGGCGGAGCACACAAGCTTCTCCACCAATGAACTGCGAGATCTTTTCAGCCTGACGGACACTCCGTCTCTAACTCACGACCTGCTGAACTGCAGCTGCAGCATGGACGGCTCAGTCCAGGGTAGGCTCATAAACATGCCAGTACACACCATTATTTGACTTCACTGAGACTCATTAACTCACTTTTGTCCTCATTCTCAGCTGTCACAGAGGAGGAGGACCAGGTCTCTGATAGGTCATGCCAGCTCGGTCGTCAGGGTGACCGTAGAGGGGGTACGGCGCAGAAGCATCTCAGCATGTCCGAGTTGATGCAGTGGAGACATTTCTCTGGTGACACACACACCTTCTCAGACCCCTACCTCGATCACGCACGGAACCACATCACATTCGCCTTCCAGACCACCATCTCTCACACAGCTCAGTAAACACATACTAGATTACACTTCAGATATAGATGAGTCACACACATAAATTTCTTCTACATGTTTGTTTCCAGCCTCTCTGGGCTTTGTCTGCAGCCTGGATACAATATGTGGTCAAACACTCAACAACTGCCCCATGTTTTAACAGTTTGACAACAACAGCAATACAATTTTCAACAGTTTTAAATGACATTGCTTGTGAGATTCTGTATCTTGTCTCGAGCGTCTTCGTTTTTCTATATTTATTCAAAGACATTTGCTGTAGAATGTCATTAAATGAATGACATTCAAAAGAAATGTGTGTAATAAACAGGTTTTTAAAGAGTTGAACAGTTCTTATTGACTGATGAATTCTTACTGTGGAAAGAAGAGCTGGTATGTTGGTGTTGGTTGGTGTTTTATATCCACATACTGTAGATTAACACGCAGGAAAGGCACTTGTTTGCCCATTTAGAGTGCTATTTTCTGTGTCAGAAAATTGATGTTGTTCTGAGACATGATTACATGACACAGATGATGGGTGATATGGAGAGAAAGCGTATACAGCCATTCATTGAAAAAGATGTAGTTTCTGGCTGGCGGCATAGTGAGTATTCTATCTGATAGAAGAATGAAAGCATACAAGGACAAGTGCGTTTACCTGACTTTTTGTGCTTTGATATCACAGTTTATTATCTAATGACTTTACACATTAATGTCTGGTAAATCAGCTGGGTTTTAGATGTGGGACATACTGCAATCTGTTCAGTCTGTTATTTTGGATAACACTAGTCTGTTCATGCTCTTCAACACAAAGCTGCTGCGTGGGAGTTATGTAGTTGTGTGTTGCTGCATGCATCCGTGTGTATGTGTGTGTGCGTGCCCTGAATTCACATGTGATTTGTGTTTGGGTCTTTCAGATTGACTGAGCGCCAATACAATGTGTGTCTTTACATAAAAAGGGTAATTATTAGTTATTGGATGATTGCCACTCTGTGTCATTGTTAAGCAACTTTGTTGTGCAATAACTGGGTCTCTCGGGTGTTAAACTTTCCCTTTATGCGTATGACAGTTGAAGCTCTGCTCCCTATCAGGGTGTGCAGTGTGTTGGAGACAGTGTGGCGGTTATGCAGACACATGCTGTTCCTCTGTGGCCATAGTGTGAATTTAAACTGTTAATGCAAGTTCTAGGCCAAGCTTCAAAGTCTCCAGCCTCATGTGAAGTTTGCATGTTAACCAGCGAGCCCTGGATCACCACGGCTCATGATACTGCTTTGCGATAATGAGTGACTGTACTGTCCAGTCTGCCCTCGGTTCAGCATGAGAGCATGAAGACGTAGTGCTGATGGGAGGGTGTCTTCTAACCTTGTCTTTCAACAATGGCTGAAGCTCTTGGTCGACGACCATTATCACCACCACCCGCTCCTGGCAAGAAAACACATTCGTCGTCACAGACAACTTAACATATAGCACCTTTAAATATTTCCTAATATATTAATTATGTCGTTTTCTGTCTGGGATCCAATGTAGGCCCTCAAGAAGCTCATCAGTTTAGGTTTGCCTTTGTAAGATTGTACTTGGGTACAGTAGTGCTTTGAGCTAAATGCTAATGTCAGCATGCTAACATGCTCACTAGCGCTGCAACTAAGGAGTATTGTCGTCATCGATTAATCAAATTCATTTAACTCATTTGGTCCATAAAGTTTCAGCAAATAGTGAAAACAACGCCCATTGCAAATTCCCACAGCCCAACGTGATGTCCTAAAAATGTCTTGTCCAGAACCCAAACATATTCATTTCATTATCATAAAAGCCCAGCAAAACCAGAAAATAGATATAATTGTGACGTTTAAACCAGTGAATGTTTTTTGTCCTTTTCTGCTTTAAAAAGGACCCAGGGATCCCACATGGTTACGTAGTCCTTGGTTCAGATCCTGCTGGGGATCTTTGCTGCTTGTCATTTCCCTTGCCGATGGAATAAGGGACTAGTCAATTCAGTCCTAATGCTAACACGCTGCTATTAAGAAGGTATAATGTTTAGCATGTTCAGCATCTTAGCTGAGATTGAGGGAATGTTGTTTTGCAAGCATTTAGTCAAATTGAAGTATTTGATAGTGGTGTAGATGAAAAGTGAAGGGATCATCAAATTGATTGCAATTCATCCTCAGGGGAACATAAATATCTGCACCAGATTTCATGACTGTCCTTCCAATCCATCACACAAAACCACAAATGTGAACCTCATGGTGGCAATAGAGGAAACATCAGGGATTCATCCACAGTTATTAGGATTCATGCTCTAGGCACCTTGAATGTCTGTAGAAAAGTTCATGCTGTTGAGGTATTTCAATCTGGACCAAAGTTTTGGACCAACTGACTGTCAGACCATCCATAGAGCCGAGCAGAAAGCATGGCTAAGAAACACATCTTAACCACAACACAAAGTCAACGAGTCCAGACATTAAAGAGGCTCAGACTGAAACCAGTGGTGGCATAGCAACTGTCACCAAGCAACTTACAACAGCTACTGCCCTGGCCTGGCTTTGGCAATGTAAGATGCTGTTTGTTGTTTCAGAGCAATCACATTTTGTGTCCCAGCTCTTTGTTATTGGTATGGGACACGTGCCTGACAGACGAGTGTCACTCGTCCAAGCAGGATATTGATCCAAATCACTTCTCTAACAGTCTCAGAGGCCATGTGCTGGTGGGTGCATGAGGCGGAATTTGTCTGTCTGTGCAAAGCTCTTAGGAGCCGCTGCTGGCCGCACCGCCAATCCCTCTTTTAAGCCGTACGCTTTAGCCGCGTCAGCTCAAAGACCTGGCGTATGGATTGAATGAATGACTTTCCACTGCTGGAGGGGGAGAAAGGGATACAGTTGTTTTGATGGTGAGACTGAATTGAACAGATTGGAAGTTTATTCCCTTTGATCCCAGGGCCTCTGAGGAAGATCTGAATGTACTGTAGATGTTGAAACATCTGGTATTAACCTTTAATGAGGTCACAGTTCTCACATTTCATTCAGTATCAGTCTGAGAATCATTGACAGTCAAGCTTCACAGGCCTTGAGCAGACCTGCTGTTTCTGTACTTTAGGGTTTCGAGACGTAGTCTCCAGGATTGATAGCACTGGACTGGATATACTTAAGTGTCAGCAGACTTGATCAAGCTGTTTATTAGGGAGAGAGAGTTTAGATATCCTCAACAGCACAGAGGATTTCATGTCTAACATCATGTTCATATCTGCACTGCTCTCTTTATAGACAGTTCAGAGGTTTATTGATTGTACCACCATTTCATTTTAAAATGAGGACAAAGACTCATTGAGGACAAAGATGACCATTAAGATTACTCTCCCTTTATTTTGTTGTCCCTTTATCTCACTACTATTCCAGTATTTCCTTTTACTTATTGTTTAACCTCATAGTAAACTGAATATTTTTAGGTTTTATATTGTTTGTTGGACAATAAAAGCAATTTGGAGACATTTATCGCCAAATGATTAATCAGTTAATCTCAATAAAATCAATCAATAATGAAAATAATCAGTTGCAGCCCTAGATTTAGCTTGCATGGAGAGTGTAGTTTGCTTTGGGAGAAGTTAGGTGCAAGTGAGGCAGTGTCAGGCTAGGTGTTGTTGGCACAGAAAGACATCTGGCCTGGTATTCAACACAGCTGCAGTCATCAATAAGTGCAATCTGTTGCCTGAAATGTGCAGCATCTATAGAAAATCGAATAAAGTTAAAAAACACTTCATGTACATCAAAAATACAAAATTCAATGCGACTGTGGCATAAATACCCACAGAACTTTCTGCACTGAGCTAAACATTAAAGCCACACGTGCTATAGGCTGTCATACGTATACGTATATATATATATATATATATATATATACATACATATTGTATAGGTGGGCCTGGATTGAGCTTCCTTGAACTTGCTGTCTTGTGCTGTTAAAATAGTACCTCTTGCTTTGATTGTGCTTTGACTTGATTGTATAATGAACTACTTCGCCCACATGTGAACCGAAAGAGGTGAAAGAAGTCTGAACCAAGGTCACTGCAGCTGAAGGTTAAAGTCCCAAACATAAAGTTCCTCTGCTTCTTCTTAGTGTTGATATAATAGCCTTCAAATGGCCTCTGTCTCGAGCTTTCCTGAGACTGATGTCTGGATGATGAATGTCAGATGAATGTGAGCAAAAGTACAGACTCTTAGTTGCTGTTTTTTTTTAAATTTATTATAGATTTATTTACCCTTTAAACCTATTTAGGAAATGGTTTCTCAATTTAAACTGAAGTGTTTGACAATATAGTATCAAGTAAATTAATTTAAACAGATAAAGTATGTGACCCCTTACTACTCTTCCTTTGAGAGACGGTGCCAAAACGTAGCATTATTACTTGCCTTACACACCATCTTAATGGCTTTTCCACTGTTGAATGGGTCGCATTAAAAGCTATAAGAGCTCTATTTTACACAGGAGAGTCCCATCAGATCAGACTGGGGTTGTTCTGAGCAGCTTCTATGTGTGAATGTGTAAGGGCCTTCTTGAAAAAGAGATCATTACTCTCAACAAATCTTTCCCTTGGATAAATAAAGTTATTGATTTCTGCACAATGTAATTAAATAGTGAGCAAGCTGTTGTCTCTGTTGGCAGTACCTTGGTTGTTGGGTTGCAAACCACTACATTTGAACTTTGCTTATTTTTGAGAAATTAAAATGTTGTTCTTGTTGTGCGTGTTGCTCCTGTATTGATCCAGAGCATATATTGATGTTGTGTGCGGTCTTTATAATAGCATAAAGTTTGGAGGTCACGTCTCACTCTGCTACCACCCACAGCCATCAACATCACCCTGCCAATATGCTGCCGTGTCAGAGCACAACCATCCCTCCCTCCTCCATCCTTCCATCCCCTCCTCCTGACCCTGGTCCTGCTCCAGCACTTAACAAGGATTTAATGTCGCCCAATCATCTGTCAGACAGATCAGATCGGAGCTGTAATACACAGCAGCAGGTCCTGTGGACGAGGCCACAACCCGATACAGAAGTCCTGAAAAACAACAGCCGAAAAAGCAGCATAATCCTACAATTACTGTAATAACTCTCCCTGATCTCAGTCGCTCTTTCTCTCACACACACAAAGTGCTTTGGCGAATGAAAATCCGATGTTTACGAGTTGAGCGAGTACATGAAGTGAAGCAAGGTCGCTCTGGGCATTTGTGTACATTGTTAGATGGTTTATTCACAAAATACCAACTGGTGGCCTCCAACTCATTAACAATATACTGGTGGTGCTGACAGTAGATCTCAGGCTTACGTGTTAAGCCTCTTCGCCAAGCTTTCATTCAGTAACACCTGATAGGAAGCTATGTTTCGATATTGTCAGAAAAGGTCAACACAAACTAATATAGACGTCAGGCATAATAGATTTGAGTTTTGACTCACAAATCACAGCTAATGATTGTGCTATATAATGTACCCATGTGGATTCATTTGATATAAAATAGTTATCAGCTCTGTGCCGCTCCTTACCTTTAGGGCTCTTTCTGATAATGCTTCATTCACTTCAGTGTTGGTGGCACTGAGATAGGAGCCATGTCTTCATAATAGATTACATGATTCTAACCAGTGTGAATATTTGTTTTTGTCTCGGAGCTGCTCCTGGAAGTTGTTGCTTGTGTCCTTGCTGAATGGTTTTGTAGTATATGAACCTTTCTGGTACAAAGGTAAAAAGTGTTAAAATGATAATTCAAGTTATGTAAATCAAAATTAACCTCCCTAGATACTAACTCCTAATCGGTGATCTTTAGTAGCTTTATGTCACGATAGATGTGAAGATTGGATTGAAACTCTGATCTGGGAGTATTTCTATTCTTTCTTTACAGCCCTAGTTTGTAATCTGTCTGTTAATCATTTGTCACGTTGAACAGGCAGCAGCACCAGTTTGGATCAATTATTTTCATCAGCTCCCACATAGAACTCTGCCAACATTTATAAATTAAATTGAATTCTTGTGAGGCACAATTTCAAATACGTTTCAATAATTCATATTCAAACTAAATCTGCCTCTAATTTGAGCAGATAGGAAGTTAATGCAGTTTCCCCTTATCATGTATTGACATTGAAATAGGGCTACAACTAAAGACTATATGATAGCATTGGATTGCTTGCTTGTTCGACCAAATCTAAAGATATTTAGTTTACTACCATATTAGACAAAGAAAAAGCAGCAAATTGTTACAATGAAGGATCTGTAAGTAGGCAGTGTTCGGCATTTTTGAAAGACTGAATAATAGTTATTTCAGATCTAGGTTGTGAGATTAAATGAAAATTCCACCTGAAACACCTTGAAACACGACTCCATAGCCAGTGATGTTCAAACAAAAAAATTTGGTTTATAAAGTTTTGTAATATCTCTTTATTGGTGTACTATTTTACCTCCAACTCTTTTTCTAGTTGAAGTCATTTAGTGATTTTTCAGAGTTCCTCTTGACCTCCTCATGTTACATTCAGATGATTTTTAGAAGTGTACTTGGAAAGAACAATGCTGGTAGCAAAACACGTTTTTCCACTTGTTGCCGATCATTGCTGTGTACAACAATTTTGCTGCAGGAAAAAGAAATTACATTGACACTAAATTTCAATGGAGCCCCCTTTAGAAAGGTAATATGTCTTCTTTAGAAAAGAATGCCTTTGTGTAGATGTGTTCACTTAAACATGCAAAGAAAACGAAATATTGAGAGTGTTTATGTTTCATAAGATGGCCTGTACAATCTAGATGTTTTTCCCACAGACTAAAAGTCTTTTCAGGCTAGAGAACAGCAGATACAGGATGTCAAGGACTCCCCTCTTTATCTCTCTCCTTCTATCTTTCTTTCAATCAACATTCACTTTCACTATTGATGGTGATCTTTTAATGCTAACACTACACCCAGCCCACATCAGTTTACATGACACCACAAATGAATATAAACATTCAGAATGCAGTGAATGAATTTTCAATGTAAAGGACAGAAATAAATGAGCTTATAATGCATAATTTACATCGTCAGATTTTCTGTCCTTCATGTCCTCAGCAAAATTGATACATTACAGATAAAACATGTTCTATAATTATTAATATTTACTGAAGTAATCAACATAGTCTAAAATAGTCCGTGTTGACTTCTTTTCCAAGCTTTTGAGACAATCAGATAAACTAAAGGACCTATGTGTAAATTAATATGCATTTGGGTAGTGAAGTCAATGACAACGGATCATATTTTATAAACTTGTCATAGGTTTTCTATCTAAAGTCTGACTCTGCAAAGTAACGATACCTGTTAAATAAGTGTAGTGAAGTAAAAAGTAAAATATTTCCCCTTAACTGTACTTAAAACAAGACTGAATGTGGCCTTACCCAGCAATATTTACCTAAAGTTTGCTAACATTAGCCACCATATTGGTCATACCAGACCAAGTCAGACTGTAGCGTTGGATTAATCAACACCATGTTGGATTTCTTATAAGTTCAACTTTTCATTTCTAAGTAGTAAAATGTGGCATTTCTTTCAGAAGTTGCATAGTCCTGCTTTAACCACAGTAGCCTACTTGAGTAAATGTACTTTGAAGACATTACACCACTGTTATCCAGCCCATGTCTCGCTGCAGTGCTGCTCATATAATTACATATTAAATTATTTATATAGTCTTCAGTTTATCCCTGTTGCACAATTAAATATCCTTTTGCTGTAAATATTATCCAAGCAGTAGCCCATTCCCTGACCGCATGCACATGAATCACATTAGTAAATACCCACCACACACCACAGTAAACATCCATGCTCCACTTGTGTGACCCCCACCCTCTTCCTACTCCTCCTCCTCCTCTTTATAAAAACCGCAGGGAAACCCCATCAGAGCATTACAGAGACACACTCAGCGTGAGATCTCTGAGACAGACGGCAGCAGACACATCAAGGAGACACGAGCTGTGAATGTCGCTCCTGGATCTACTAATCAAATGTTTTTCCATTGCCCGATTTAATCTTTGGGGTTTTTTTGCGAGTTTTTACATCTGAACTCTTTCGTAGAAAGAGTTTCATCTGGTTTCATCAGCTTCACTGAGGGTGCAGTAAGTTACTGTCGGTATAACTGCAGTGGGGATGTAGAGAGCAAACTGAGACTGACTTTACTCTCCTTTATTGTCATAATTCTGGCTCAGAGTTCAGGCACTTTTGGTTCAAGTTTTTGGTTTTCAGAATGAAACAAAAGGACATTCATAATGTTTATCTGCAGTGATAGAAAGGCTTGAAGGCGTGAACTTTAGTGGAGAAATCTCGTTTTACTTTATTTTTGACTCTTTTTTTGTGGAGGTTAAAGCACCACCCTGAAAAACGGTTTAATCCCACCGTTGTGGATTAATCCAGTTCATCCTAATTTTGTCACCGGCACCATGCTGTCCACTGTGCGCCGCCACAGCCTCCGCCTGCAGACCGAGCTCCACCGCTGGAGCATCTGCGACCCGGGCAGCCACCTGCTCCCGGACAGCCTCCTGGCCCGGGTCCCCGCCTGCATCTCTCGTTCAAAGTCCTGCAACAGCTCCGCCGGGGAGTCGGACGGCAGCCGCGGGAGCTGGTCTTCCTCAGACTCGGTCATCTCCACTGACTCCGCCTGGGAGCCGGCGGAACCCGGCAGACCGTACCGGGTAGTCTTGTTAGGGGCCAGTGGAGTCGGTAAAACGGCTTTCGCTAGCATCTTCGGTGGGGCAGCAGACAGCATGGACAGTGATGACTGCGAGCTGTGTGAAGGTGAGAAAAGTATTTAACTTTACTGAAACATTACTGTCCAACAGATCTTTATTTATTTTTATAATAAAAATTGAAATGTACAAACGGTCCCGGAGGCCACTTCTCTAAACCATAAAAATTTCATATTATGTGAACATAGACCTAAAGAAAGAATAAATGAAATATCATAATGTTTGAAATAGTGTCTACAAGATCATTATTAAGAACCACACACTTTACAATCTCCTAGAATTATATCATGAAACTAATCATTTTGATAGTATGATTATGTCCAGCACCTTGATGTCAAAAGGACTATGATTTCACTTTTCTTCATGTCTAATTTCAGATGAGACGTGTGAAAAGACAATTGAAGTGGATGGAGAACCTGCCACTGTAACTCTGCTGGACACCTGGGACGCAGAGGTGAGATGAAAAACAGACTTGACTAATGAGGATCAGAGGAGAGAGCACATCACTCTGGATGCCTGCACATATACCGTCCTCTACATCCTTTCTCTAGCTCTGTGTATGTGTGTGTTTTTCAGACTGACGGTGAATGGGCTCAGGAGTGCTACATGCAGACAGGTGATGCCTACCTGTTGCTGTACTCTATAACTGACCGGGCCTCGTTCCTGCGAGCTTCTGAGCTCCGGATCACCCTGCGCCGCTTCCGTCCTGCTCAGCACACACCAATCATCCTGGTGGGGAACAAGTGTGACCTGGTGCGACGCAGAGAGGTGTCAGTCACTGGTGAGGAGAATCAATCCCTGTGTGTTTGTGTGTGATGAACACTAGTCGCTCTGAGTTTTCTTCTATATGCAAGTGCTGATCTTTGAGTTTCTTCCTCAGAGGGCCGTGCCTGTGCTGCTGTGTTTGACTGCAAGTTCATCGAGACCTCAGCTGCCATGCAGCACAATGTCTGGGAGGCCTTCCACGGCATAGTACGACAACTGCGTCTACGCCGAGACTCCAAGGAAGCCAACAAACGTCGCAGGCACATAAACTGTAACACACGCCGCGAGAGCCTTCCTATGAAGGCCAAACGTTTCCTCGACAAGGTGGTGGCAAAGAACAACCCCAGTATGGCGTTCTGGCTAAAGTCTAAGTCCTGCCATGATCTGTCTGTGCTGTAGGGGCCCAACAGAAATTCATTTTAACTCCACACCAAACCCATGAGGAGGTGAACAGCCAAGAGAGCAGAATTCATGGACATGGGCTGGAGAGAGAAGACTGCTTCTAAAGGGCTGAAAGCTGGGTGATTCAAACCCAGTCCTCACTGGGTTCACATCCACCCTCAGCACAGCCAGGAATGGTGTGCAACACATTTCTACACTGACATTCATATGTTGCAGTCAAAACTAGACTGAGTGGACTGAGCTCCGTTTGTCAGCCATTGTAATGGACTAGACTATCAGTCAATGAAGTAGCGTTTCTTGTCGTGAAGACTTCCCCTGTATGTGCGGCAGAAATGTTGGAGATTTGAGATGAACTGATGGGAGGTGATGTAGTTCAGACATTAGCCTTCTCTCTCCTTTCCTCTTTTTCCTCATCTTTTTGCTCTCATCCCTGACAGGTTTTGTTGACTGTCAGTCCCTAAGTGCTAAGATAACCAGTTGTAAGCTACTGATTATTAAGTGTGATTACTGTCTCTGATTTTTTTTTTTTTTTTTTGGAAGATGATCATTGAGTAGTTCCTTTGACATTATTTATAATGTCTGTATTTTGCACTTATTGTAAATAAATACCAGATTGATAATTTACCGTATTTTGCTACTTGGACGTGGTTTCAGTGTTGCTTGATGAAATAAAGTGACATCATCTGATTTTGGGGGGAAAAAAACAGTTCCTTTTGTCTTTTTGTCATCTCAACCCTCACTAATGAGCTATCGCCATGTGTGACTCAGCTTTGACACAAGAGAGACTCACTTACACAAACAACTGAGCTGATAAAAGATGAGTCATTAAAGCTGAACTTAGAGAAAGAAAGTGTGTGTGTGTGTTTGTGTGTCTGTGTGTGTGTGTCGGCTAGCTGATTGGGTACAATGATTTGACTGCTCAGGGACTGATCAGAGATTTGGGTCACAGTGTGACACCGAACATCACGCTCAGACGCTGCTCAGATCCCCAACTCAGTTTTGCATGAAAAGTGATAAAATTAAAAAAAAAAAAAACAGGAAAATGTGTTGCCAAGGTAACATTCAGAGCAGCTCAGGAAGTAATTGTTTGTGTGTGTGTGTGTGTGTGTGTGTGTGTGTGTGTGTGTGTGTGTGTGTGTGTGTGTGTGTGCGCGCGCACGCGCACGCGTGCGTGCGTGTGTTCAGTCCAGCGAGCATCAGTCAGATGGTGTTGGTGCATGTTGGACACAATATCTCTCAGGCTGCCTGCACACGGGATCAAGACAGAGCAGTGTACATGTATGGACCCATGCCTTACATAATGGAGTCACTTCCATCTGAATTAATGGCTTCATCCTCTGAACTGTCAGCACTGCAGTCACAGGTTCTGGTTAAATAGCGGTCCTGTGAAACTGTGACTCATTCACAGCCTGTTTTTCTACAGTTGCAGATTCATACAAATCTCTGCCTCGTCTCCAAGCAGCTTTCTGTAGATTGTAAAGCTCACTGCTCTCAGCCCAGGATGGCAGCCTGTGCATCAGGATGTATGGATGATAATCCCAGTTTTATGTGAGGCTGGGGCACGAAGGTACAGATAAAATTCAGTGACATAATTACAGACGGATGACAAATTAAAGGGAAAACCCAACATAAAGTGTCTTAGTAAGGTGTTGGGCCACCAGAACAGCTTCAGTGCTCCTTGGCATTGATTCTGCAAGTCTCTGAACTCTACTGGAGGGAAGAACACCATTATTCAAAAAGATATTCCCTTATATGGTGTTTTGATGATGATGAGGTTGGAGAGCACTGTGTAACATGTCTGCCCAAAATCTCCCATAGGTGTTCAACTGGGTTGAGATCTGGTGACTGTGAAAGCCATAGCATATGATTCACTCATTTTCATACTCATCAAACCATTCAGTAACCCTTTGTGCCCTGTGAATGAGGGCATTGTCATGCTTCTCCACTCATTTTTTCAGCTATTTCCTTTAATGTGTTACCCGTCTGTAGTACAACCTCTCTTTAAGTCACCTTGAAGTCATAGTTTATGGCATTATGTTACTTAAAGGTGGAAAGGTTTATTAAGAACCAAAGTCATGAGCAGGGATCAAACCCACTGCTTAATATTTTGATGCTCTGTGCTTTGACCTGCTGAATCACCTGAATGACCCCATAGCTTTGCATTCTTGTGAGGCAATGGATTGTCAGTGTAATCTGTTAGTCCCACTGTCTACACACACAGCGTCTTATCAGGCACACAGCTACTAATGGAAAATCTGACAGGAAACGGTGTAGAGGTCAAAGTCTGAACTGAAATTAGAAACTTTGCTGAACAGCATATTTTTTAGTGAAATTTCTCCCATTATTATGCTCCTTTTCATTCTAATTTTTCTCCTTTTGTTCACAATTCACACACATGCATGACAAATACTGTGAAATTCCTTCAACCTGTTTGCTTTTTGTAACAATAACACACCATTAACGTTCCACCTTTGAGCATTTGTGGTAAAATCAGAAGTTGATATTAGTGATAATGAAGTTGTCTTTTACAGTACTAAATGTGTGATTGTTCTGTTCTTCCTGTCTCCTTCTGTCTTGTCAGCTGCTTGCCTATTGGCTGAGCTCGACACGAGGGCAGGGTGATTAGACAATCATTAGATCCAATAAAACATTGCTGGTTAGCCTTTGGTTAACGTTTTACCAGACAAGGATGGGACTGCTCGATCACTCTGAAGTCTGAGGAGTGACTCACTTGATCTCTCCTGTAAGGTAAGTCTCCTCACTCTCCTGGCTCCAAGGTTCGGATTTGTTGGGTTTTTGGAGAAGATTTTTAGGATGTGAGTAGGGCACAAACTGGATTGCATCTGTTGGTTTTCACAGACTGTGTTTGATGTATCGGATGCTTTAAGTTTGTTGAAGGAGTGCTATGATCTTGACTTGACTTTGGCAGGGCCTTTTTGTCATGTTTTGTCACGTCTGACGTCCGAACATTGCTTCTTTTTGGCTTCCTTGGGTTATTCTCAGCGCCTGGCATTGGGGTGAAATTACCTGCATGGGACACTAGATTTGGTATCAAAGAAACAGAAACCTAAACTGTCAAAGGTCATCCACTCATTAAAGGAGAAAGAAAGGGCCTGCACAGCCCAAATCATTGTGTCATACAGCTCTGCCACTTTGTCCATTAATCCTTTGTTGGACAAATAAAGTAAATAATTCAATTTATAGAATATTTCTCTCACTGGAAGTCAGTTAAATCATTGTAAGTGGACGTCTGTCAATTGGTAATGCCAAGAATGTCTTTAGTTTAGTTAACCCTATATCTGTCAGAAGAGGTCATGTTCAACGTGGTGCCAGAAATTTAAAAAATGTTAGTAAAAAATTCTAATAACAAAGTAAAATTTGCATTTTGCTAATAGGTAGTGTGAGTTCATGTTGGTGACATTAAAAAGAGTGCCGTGCTACAAAAAGGTCATTAGCCACCACTCAATGTCACCTTCACTTTTCTTTGGCGGCTGACTTCACCCTTGTCTCTTGCCAAGTCCAGGACACCTCAGACTTTTTCATTTATCGATTTATTCCTGATATATTTTCTAAATATGGTCATTTTATGCGTGTTATGTTTGTCTTGTTGACATTAATGAATATCAGTATCAAAAGCAGAAAAAAGTAAAGATTATTCCTTTGGGGAGCTGTTGCACATCCAGGCTCTGAGTTACAGAAAGAGAAACAAGCTTGAAAAAAGTCACCTAAGTCTGGCGTTGTGTTTAAGCTCTTACTTTCACTTAGGTTAAACCCTGACACTCTGGGTTCAATGATTTCTGGATTAATTGAGAAGTAATAGTTCCTATCCAGTCTTTATTATTTCTATAAGCACGTCGCATGAATTTAACAGCTGAGCAAAGTGAATATTACGCTTTGTAAAATTTAAATGTGTAATTTAAATCCTCCTCTTCGTGTCACCTCTCTGCCTCCTCAACCTACTTCCTCCACTCCCATCCCCCATATCTCCTCCTCCTCCTCCTCCTCCTCCTCCTCCTGCTCTTCCTCTCCCTTCCCAGCCTGTGATCATGACACCCATGGTGCATCTGTTGTTGCTCCCACTCCTGTTCAGCATTGTGAGTACATAGCGCTGCCAACTGCTGCTGCAGTTCTTCAATACATATTCATAAGTACTCAGATACATGAACCTGTTAAATGGTCTGTGAAATAGTCAGTGTGGATTAATTCTTAGATATAATCATATACAACTTTTGGGACAGGTTTGGAACACAGGAAGAATAAAAAAGAAGATTTTATTTTTGGCATTTGCAGCATCCTGTACAAAGAAACCATCTGCAAGCTTAAAGACACGTGTCCATGAAAGCCTTTCATAACTTATTTGAAACACTAAAAGGAAGTGAAAGTTGTTGCTAAACTAACTGTTAGTGTGTCTGTAGACTTTGCTCTCCCGTCCGCCTCTGGAATACATGAATATCTCCACTTGTCCTGTAATTTTGGTTCAATAAATAACTGGCCCTCGATACCTGACTGCTTTCAGCTGCAGCTTCGCTATAACGAAAAGGGCGAATGTGGGCGTGAATGTGAGAGGTTCAATTTTACCTCACCCTGTACTGTATTCTGTGACCTTTGACCTCTATTTCTGTGCTCTGATAGGCTGGTGGGAAGGACTTGGAGGAAAAGAAGGGCCCATTTGAGAACAAGGTGCTGAATGTGCCAGAGGGGACACCAGTGCCATATCCCATGTATCAGGTATTACACAAATGCCAGCAGTGGTGCAAAATAACAAAGTACATTTACTGAGTATTTAAATTTTCTGCTGCTTCATGCTTCTACTCCACAACATTTCAAAGGGAAATATTGTACTTTTTTTTACTGTACTTCATTTATCTGACAGCTTTCTATTTTTCAAATTAAGATTTCATATTACAAAACACATATGATAAAGTTTTAAAATGCAACATGAATCCCCTCTTCAAAAACGCAGTGTCTAGTTTGGTTCCCTTGTTTTCATAATGGAGTTTTACTACACTGCTGTATATTACTTTACCAAAGTAAAGTTTTTGAGTACTTCAAGCATAAGAGGTTTTAAGGATTTTAAGATGTCTGGTCTATTAACCCTCACTTTTAAAAGAATGTTTCCCTCAAATTAAGTCTTCAAAAGCAATTAATGAATCTTATTGTGTCTCTTCAATTTTCTCCCTCCCATCTTTCACTCCATAGTTTCAGGTGACCCAGCCAGGTGTGAATAATTTCAGGCTGAGTGGAGAAGGTAAGGACTACATTCATATTTCAAAGGATGGGTGGCTCTACCTGGAGAAGCCTCTGGACTGGTCTCAAGATAACCATTACGCGATCATGGTAAAGTGCTCTGTCTACATATAGATAAACATACAGAAAAATTATACTCATACACTGCAGTAGCTAAAGCATATGTATTTATATATATACTGGTGTGTGTGTGTGTGTGTGTGTGTGTGTG